TGCATCTAAGCCACCACCCACATGACACACAGGATCCAGAGGGGAATCAAGGATTGAGTAGCACATCTGCGGCCAACAGCTAGTGAGCCGCACGGTGGGTTAATCCTGTCTCTCTCTATGGTCCTCGTATTTCCAGAGGATTTTTAAATGATCAAAAAATTTAAAATAAGCTGTTGCATAGCTATCTCAGAGCCACCAATAGGATATTGAATTTTTTTTTTCTCAATTGGCCTTGCTTACTTTGGAAGACTTAGTGGTTGAATTTATAATTAGATTCCACACCTCTCACTACTAATAGAGGTGCCATTCCTCCTAGGTATACAGTTTCTCTTCCACCACGCAATAAATCACCAGATTATTGTGACAATTACTTTTCTCCTTTAAGAGAAGTATGTTATGATCAAGTTTAAGAAAATGTATATCTTGTACTGGGAAGTGCTTATGTAGAGGTCATCTACAACGTGTTTCATAATCACTTCCAAGTTGTTAATTCCTGTTTTCTCTAGACACAACAAAAACAGGAAATATTTACCAACTTCACAGGTGTCAGGAAATACTTTTGAAACCCTGGTGGCCTCAGCCACCTGCTTGGAACAGATAGCATTTCTGTGCATTGGTGCAGAAGGTAGATTGTAATTTAAATTGTGTGATTAGGTCCACAGCCCTATATTCATACTTTCTAAGGATTCCCAGGCTTTGCTCCTGTTGGACCAAAGACTTGTTTCAGAAGAAAGGTGCAGTGTATGCAAATGTGCTCTCTAGCATTTACAAGAGAACTACAATTGTCTACCTTTGCTCAGTTTGAAATTCTGTTTCCACATCTAACAGAGTGCCCAGATGATAAATTTCATCTCAAAACTATTGAAATATAAAATATGTTCTCAACGATCATTTTGGTAGTAAACCACAATTTTTTTTCATACTGCAATTTAAATTTTAAAAAATGGAGATGACTTTAGTCTTTTTCCAAATCGTTAATCATAAAAACTTCAGAAAATAGCTAAAAATATAGACTAAAATAAGCATCACTGATAACATCATGACTTAAATCCTCTTACATATTTCTCACAAAAATTATTCACATGGCATTAGAACACTAGTTTGTCACTTAATATGCAGTAGAAGTACTCTTCAGCTAAGTACACTTAATTATCTCAGTGAAATCAGGTCTCCTAATCATCCGGGGTGTATCTTCAAAGGCGATTACGGGACCCCAGTCTCTTCCTCTTTGCCTTTTTTGCATCCCCGTCCTGAGGTGAGTAGTTTTGCTATGCCATGTGTTCCCACCATAAAGTGTTTCCCCACCCCCACCCCCAGAGGCCTAAAAGCAATGTGTCTGCCCATAGTAGCCTGAAACCTCCAAAATTATGAACCAAAATAACCCTTTCCTCTTTATGAGATGACTTATCTCAGGTTTTTTTTTTTATTATATTGACACATTAGCTCAGTCAGCTTTAGTGTAAACACATTCTACAGCAATCACTCTACATGTATGTCATCATTTTCAATGACTGTATCATATGCAGTTCTTGGCTATACAGTCATTTCTTTAATCAATACCATATCAATGACCTTTTCAGATTATTTGCAATTTTCTAATACTATAAAATTATTGCAACATTTGCTTCATGTGCATTTTTGTATTCTTTAAAAATTATTTCCTTGGGATAAATGCATAAAAGTATAGTTTTACATGAAAGGAGATATATTTTTTAAAGTACGTATATACATTAATATGAGATAGGTAAAATTTTAATATTTTCATTTAAAAATTTAGTGACTTGGAAGTGCCACTATGCACCTTATCACTAAATTTATTGGATCTGTTTCATGTGTAAAATAAAAGGTTTAGACTAGAATTCTTTAGTCCCTACTTCTCAACCCTGACAACTTGATTTCTATGCCCTCCTCCTCAAAAATGGAATTTAATGAGCCAGATTCATGCAAGCAAATCAAGCTACAGCGTTGCTGCAGAAAGTCTTTCTCATCATTTTTTACTGATAATCTTGACCTTGAAATACCATGTCTGTGATGGAGTGAATGTGACTGAAGTACATTGTATGCATGTATGAAGAGAGGAGAAAGAAAGAGTAACAGAGGAGGTGAATATGTCAAACTACATTATATGCATGCATGGAAACATCACAGTGAAACTCCTGTGTGCAATTAATATATGCTAAAATAGGAATGCCACCAAAAACTGGAAAAAATAAATTATTTCAAAATTAAAAAAAAAAAGAATTCCATCTCTCTAATATTAAGAGGGAAAGACAAAAAGAAACAAGTACAGCTGGATGTAGAGACACAGGCTGTAATTCTAGCACTTGGAAGGCTGAGGTAGGAGGACCGAGAATTCAATACCAGACTAGACTTAGAGACCTTGTCTAAAAAAAAACTCTTCAAGTAAAACAGGTTTCTCTCTTGTGTCAGACTAGCTGCCCTTCTGTCTTCTGCTCTTCCCAGACAATCTACTGGAAAAAGGGTTCCCTGCTGTGCAGTTTTCACGCCATTGAGTCAAGCTTCCAAGACAACCTCTCATGGCCACTGCTGCACTACAGTGATGACTAAAACCTCTTCGGTTCTGCTGTTTCTCTCAATCACACATGGCATGATTGATCACTCTTCTTGAACGTCTTTCTGTGAGAACATACTACTTTGATTACTTCTGGGTCTCTGGTTCTTCCAATGTCCGTGCTCCTCTTATGACCTTCTTCTACTTGTCACTGCAAAGTCCCCAAGTTTTCATTTTGTTAAATATTTTGTTTTTGAGACAAAGTCTTCCTACAATAAAGTCCAAGTGGTCTTGAACACCTGACTGAGACTCCCAAGTGCTGGAATTATAGAAGTGCACCACCATACTTACCTCCCCACAGTTCAAAGTTCCTCTGACATTTCTCAACCCTCTCAACTGTTCAAATAGCTCAGCAAGAAAAGTCACTCTCTTCTTTCATGGCTACCATTTTTGAAAAATATTAGGAAATATATGAAAATAAAATGCTAGTATTAATTATGAGTGAGTACACATGAATGAGATACTGAAACTGATGAAAATAAGTTGACATTTTTTGGTATGTAACCTTCAGCTAATGACAGATTAAGATTTTATTATTTGAAGTTTCCTCACAGAACCTGGAATCAGGTAAAGTACTGTTTAATGGCAAAGTTTCTACCTTCAAAGAAATTAAAATTTAGGGACAGAAAACAAAACAAAGGAAATATACTGTTTAGTATCTCAGCACTGTGTGAAAGAGGCATCACATGGCAACCCAGAAACTATCATTTCAAGCCTTAGTCCTACAGCTAAGGAATAACACCATTTTGTCATTGTAAAAAGAAATAGGTTAAAAAAAGCAGAAGCAAAACTCTATAAACTGGATGAATATATAGGGAGCTACTTTTTAGCAAGAACTGAAGAATGAATAGACCAAGTTTGTGAGGCAAAAAAACAAATATTCTGGTGCCTGGTTTTATACAAGCAGCTTATCTATAGCAGAAAACTCAGTTGAAGAAATTGTCTTTAATATGCATTTGAGCATTCTTATTGATAAGATTTAACTGATTAAAAGTCAATTGACATGGAATAGCTGTATCATTTTTTATTGAACAATAATAAATTTGTTCTTTTAAAACAAAAGTTAACAGCTTATCCTGCTTACATTCCCCCACCTAAACATTCACAATTTTGTTGGCAAACTTCCAGAATAAAAATAAGTAAATAGTGAAATAATTCTTAAATAAGTTTTTCACTCCAAATAAAACACTTCTGTAAAGATTTCCTAACAATATCCAGTATAACAGTCCTGATTGTGCTAAGATCCTCCCAAACATACTTCTGCTTCAAATTATCAGTCAAGTTTGAGAGAAAAAAATATAAAAATAAACTATATGTTAAAGTTGATGTGTTTCCTGCTTTTTGAAAACTCTCTTTTCCCAAACTTTCTACAAAGATGTTTTCTACTTTAAATTTAAAATGGTTTAAGTCTTGGTATTTTCTTTTAAATATTCCTCGTTGCTCATTTTTTGACATATTATAAATCCAGAGTGACTCAATTTCTCTGATGCTTATCACTGTTTATATTACCACAATTATTAATAATAAATTTACCATACCTCAGATGGTTGAAAATCTTACAGGGTTACACCTTTATTCTAACCATTTTAAACAAATAATATTAGATTCATTTCCTCACAATGGTGATAAATATGAGTATGAAGGGTTTTTGTACTGACATACTGTTTATAAAAATATATAAATATTTACCTTCACCCCTCCCCAACCCCCAGTAGGCAAAATACTTCCTAGCTCTAGACCACAGGTGTGCACTTTATTTAAACAGTGATGGAAGTGTACATTTGTCTTCTGCCCCAGAGCTCTCCTTCAGATGCAGATAACTTGAGAACTACATCAACTGCCTTTAGAAATCTACCTCAATTCAAGGCTGTTGCTCAAATTCCCACAAGCTTCAAACATCCTGCCTCCCTCAGAAAATTTCTGGTTTTGTTTTGACTTCTTCCAAAGTTTAAGAAATTAAATTCTACCACAAGGAAGAGCTAAATACTATAACTCACTACCCATACTCCCCCGTCCCCACCTTCTCCTTCTCCTGACTCTTCCTCCATCCCATATCTTCACATTAAGGCAACCCAAGTCAAAGAATCTGTGGGTTTACTGTGATATTCAGCTTTAACTGGCTTTGACTTTGACTTGACTCTATGTAAGATTATCCAAATTGTATATTTAATTCTTCAGTGTTACTATACACATACATTTAACAAATCTACATGCATTCAAATATTTAACAAATAATCATCTTAAAGTGTTCAGCCTTATGCATTTTACAGATTGTAAGTAGCCTACTTTTCTCTTGATCTATTCTGAATCACCCTTTATTTCCAAAAATTACATGTCCATATGCTATAATCTAGAAAGTTCTTAAAATGTTGGCTGAATGTTGAACAATCACTAAAATATAACCTCCTCTTGGAAATCCAACCCAGGATCAGCGTGGTTTTAACCATTTCGTTACAAAGGAACTTGCAGGGTTCTCTTTCCCAATTTCTTCTCTCACAGTGCTGCCATCTCCAGATGCCATGTCCTGCTCTGAAATTAGAAGGAATATAAACATGTCCAAATGTCTACAACTCAAGGGTCAAGAATTTTGTTTTGCTTTTTCTTTGTCAATGGAATTTAACATAAAATCTTTGATAGACTCAAGATGCTATGCTACTTTATCAGTTAACACCTCCAAACTAAGGTAATACTTGCATTATTTATCTGCCTATCATCTTTCTTTCTTTCCTTCCTTCTTTCGTTTTCCTCTTCTTTCTTTCTTCCTTTCCTTCCTTCCTTTCTTCCTCTCTCTCTCCCTTCTCCTCCTTTCTCTCCATCTCCCTCCCCTTCTCTCTCTCTCTCTCTCTCTCTCTCTCTCTCTCTCTCTCTCTCCCTATCTCTCTCTCTTTCATTGTTATCTCACTCTACCACTAGAATTCCAGCTCTAAAAGGCGGGTACTTTCTTTCATTCACTGTTAAATTCCCCACCTACAATAGCATCTGGAACATAGTAGGAGTAGGCACTTAATAGAGACTTACAGAATATGCAAATGCTGTAAAAATAGATATCAAAGTAAGATTTTTGTGCTAACTGGTATAGAAGGATTAACTTTTCCATGTGACTCCAGAAGGCAAACCAAAGGGTACAACTTTTATAAAGACAGTTCTTGCTTTACATACAGAAAAGTTATTTAGAATTTTCTAAAATGAAGCTTCCTGCTTATAAGAGTAGTGAGATGTGCTTGCCTCAGTCATGCACAGAGATGAAATGCTCTCGTATGGATGCAGCCTGATAGTCAAATGCCTGTAATTTCATGAAACATGCCAGAACTTGCTCCTCACTCACCCCACTAAACAAATGCCTTGTGAATTCCCAGTCTGGGAACACTGTCTATTAAAAAAAATTAAAATGGGACCACTAGGGTCCCAGGAGTATTTCAGCCAAAGACAGGTTGGAAAAGACAAACAGAGGAAAAAAAAAAAGACAAGAGAAATCATGCAAGTGTTACCTCAGCTTGGAGGTGCTAACTGATAAAGAAGCATAGCATCTTGAATCTATTAAAAAGATAGTTGGAAAAGACCTCCTCATGCAGTCAGGGTTTGAAAAGGACCTCTGAGATGCCCTATGGTGAGTCTTGGAGCCACCTACTCCATCTACTCCATTCTCAAAGGGTGACCTGAAAAGGTTTGTGCAGGTGAAGGAAGCCTGTGACAGGATGGAGAAGCCAAGCTTCTTCCTGTAAATTCTGGCCCAATGAACTAGGCAGCTGAGCAAGCAGCCTCACTACTTTTCATTAGGACATTCTTCTCTCCATCCTGAACCTAAGGTTTATCAAGATTACACTAGTAATCATCTTTTAAATATTCTGGGTCAGGAAAGGGAAAAAACAACTGTTTTGCCTATATATTTTTAATAAAAATTTCAATACCAAATTTTGGTATAGAAATATTTTCTATCCTGTCATGTCCACCTAGCAATATAGTACCTTTCCAAGATATTTGCATGGTCTCCAAGCAGATTAGAGGGGGTGACAGGTTTGAGTGGAAAAGACTACACCATAGTCCTGTAGAGAAGAGGCCGAAGGGTCACCCTGCTGTTGTACAGGAGGGATGCAGGTAAGACACGGAGAATTTCTGTCATTGAGCACTGGTTATTCCAAAGGAACTCTCACTGCCTCTCAGACATTCCATCCCAAACCCCAACAAAGAGTCACAACAAATTCAAACACCTCTTGGGGAGAATGATTTAAGGACAAACGTAAAAGAGAGAAGATGGATGCAAAATGTTGTACCTCCAAAGTGCTCTTTAGCCTGTGATTTTAAGGAAGCAAAATAAGACAAAAGAAGCTGAAACTATTTGAGGCACCGAGGTACAGTGAGACATTAACTCTCAAATCTGTTCAATAAGTTACCTAATCCTTCAAAAATAATTCTAGATTTTAGAAAGCAGATCTGTGGTTTCCAGGTGCTTGGGGAATGTGAAGAAGAGGCTCACAGCTGATTCTGGACTTTCAGTGAGGGTTGGTGAAAGTGGTATGGATCTAGATGGTGAGGTTGTACACGTTGTGACTGTTCTAATGCTTTGGAACTGTTTACTTTAGCATGCTTACGTTTATGTTATGTGAATTTTACTTCAAAATGAATTCAAATCTTAAAGAATAATGCTTTGACTTTCAAAGACTACAGGCACAAGACATAAGTATTTAAAATGTTAATTATGTCTTGATTTCCAGATGAAATACTCACAAAAAATATTCACCTAATAGGTTGAAAAAGGTTTTATTTTGAGTTAATGTTTAAGAGTATAGTCATACTTCACCTGCTAATTCATTTGAAATACCAACATTTGAAAGAGTTAATGCTGGAAAAATAAGCACATTTGCTCAGTATTTCACATTTTAATTAATTTGAAGTGCAAATGATCAAAAATAAAACCTAAATAAACCTAGCTACTCAGGAGGCAGAGATCAGGAAGATCACAGTTCAAAGCCAACCAGGGCAAATAGTTTGCGACACCCTATGTCGAAAAGCCCATCACAAAAATAGGGCTGGTGGATTGGTTCAAGGTGAAGGACCTAAGTTCAAGCTCCAGTACCAAAAAAAAAATAAAATGGATTTGGATGACTATTTATATCTGGGGGAAGGTGTGTAGATTATTGATAATACTTAGCAGTTACTGTGGCTAAATGATGATTTGGGGGGAAGTTACATCTAAAATGATTTGGGGCTAAATGATGATTTGGGGGGAAGTTACATCTAAAATTACTTAATTTTAGAACATGCTATAATAATTGGGTATATTGGGGTATAATGTGATGCTTTGATACATATGTGCATTGTGCAATGATTAAGTCAAACTAACATATGCATCACTTCACATACTCACCATTTTTAATGGTGAAAATATTTTAAATCTACTCTTTAAGCAATTTTGAACTATATAGTACATTTTTATTAATTATGGTCACTACTTCGTGCATTGGAAGTGCAGTCTCTTTCCCTTGAGCCTGTAACCCTCTCTGATTTGCATGCAATATGCAAATGTCTTGGCTATTATATAGATGCCTTGGAAAGATGCTATATTGCTTGGATGGACATGACACTGGAGACTACACAAAAATATTTGTATACCAAAATTTATTATTGAGATGTTTATTAGAAATTTATAGACAAAACAATAGGTTTTCTCCCTTTTTTGACCCAGGGTATTTAAAAGATTGTTGCTAGTGCAATCTTTAGTGATGCATGTCATTTATTTATTTACTTACTTATGTTGAAACCTTTAAATGAGCTACTATTAATTTAATAGAGCCCTACAGACTTGGCCATTTATCAAAATATAACCAAATATGTGCAGAGCACTATATTTTAAGTTGTGTATTCCTCACATTCTCATAATCTTGTAAGAAATGCATATAGATCTACAGGCAATGTGTAAGCATTACTGCAATTTCATTCATTTCCTAAGATTCAATCACAAGTACTATTTCTTATCTTCTCAAAAATCCATAAAAATGCACACTTGGAATTATTCTGTTTAAATGTTTCCATTTGGTTAAAAGAAAGACATGCTCTACATTTTTTATCATGTCTCTTTAACCTTCTCTAATAAATTCCTCACCATACTTTTTCTGGGTAGAGTCAGGAGAGAAATAGTTTTGTCTAATAAGCATATAAAACAGATAACTGAAGAATTTAAAGAACTTTGTAAATTTCAGTGACTTGGTTCTTATTACAGATTTGGTTTTGGTAATCAATCATGCATTCTCCATATGAAGTGGGTATACTTTATGAGAAATTATAGTATATAATCCTCAAAATTACCAATAGGATCTTTTTGGAAAACCAGACTAAAATTCCACCTACCTTTCTCTCAAGGAAAATAAAGGAAACAAGATCATCCAAATTGACATCTTCTTCTACTCACGGATATTTTTAAGTTACCCAAACTGAAAATGAGACTACTTTGTTATACTACAATCAACTCTTACCTGTGGGAGAGACAGAGCTCCTGCTGGAAGGCTTGGCTGTTGAATATTGGAAGAAGGGAAATGTCAGACATTTGCCTGTCATCCTGTCACATATGCCTGCCTGGCAGTTGCAGGTCTCCTTGCATTCCAGCCCGAAGGTACCGTAGGGGCAGTCTGAGGGCAGAGCAAAGGTTTAGAGAAGGAACTTCTTGTTGTGCAAAGGCTTCTGTCCTCACAGCCCCAAGCGATCATCTTAGGATTTGAACCAATCTCATGGATCTTGAATGTACAATGAAACCCATTTCTCAAAACCCAGGCTTTGACCAGGAGTAGTGGCTCACACCTGGATTCCAAGCTATGCCAGGGGCATAGGTAAGAGATCATAGTCCAAGGCTGTCTTGAGAAAAAAAAATGCAAGACCCTATCTGGAAGCAAAACAAGGTCTGGAGGTGTGACCCAAGTGGTAGGCCTAGCAAGTGCAAGGGCCTAAGTTTAAACTTCAATGCCGCCAAAAGAAAAAAGAAAATCAGATTTTGAAAGTTGAAAGTATGAGTCATAAATGTGAAATCACACATTAAGACCAGACACTGGACATCTCAAGCTTGGTATTATGATGTAAAGTTTAGCTGAAGACAGCTACATATAGCTAATCTCCTTGGACTACTTTTAATTCTGTTCATTTTCTGCTTAGATGATAATACAGATTCTCTGGGTTACTCCATAACAGTTCAGTGAAGATGGAAGATGGAAAACTGAATAGACGTCTACACCTCAAAGATACAACACTATCTTTGAATCCACCATATTCACAGACCACTATTTTAAAGGTATGCAAAGAGCTTAAAACTAACCAGGGCTAAGAGACCTGCCATCCCAGCTCACCATGAAATGATCAACCTCAATCTGCAACAACCATTCAGAAGTTCCTTATCAGTCAAGACAGTGATACAAACTGGGCATGGTGGTACATGCCTGCAGTCCCAGCTGCTTGGGAGGTGGAGGCAGGAGGATTGCCAACTTAAGTCCAGCTTGGATAAAATCAGTGAGACTGAATATAAATGGGCTGGGTGTGTGGCTCAAGCCGTAAAATCCTTGCCTAGCATAGGCAAGGCCCTGGGTTCAAACTTTAGCACCAAAAGAAAGAAAGAAAAAAAAACCAAAAACCAAACAAACAAAAAAAACCTTAGCAGTAAACTTACCTAAATCCCCCACTTAGCAGTAAACTTAACTCCCCCACTGAAGTTCACTAGCTCACTAGTAAAACTCTCTACAGAGCTAAGATTCTAAATAAACAAAAAAGCACAGAGTTTATATACCCAAGGGCTTATAGACCTACCAAGACCTTCTGGAAGCTTTTAGAAGCTTTTAGTTTATACTTAAACTAAACCATACCCTATTGAGATAAAGAAGACAAAGTCATTTAGTAAAAGGTGTAGGTTTACGATATAAACAGCTCTTTATAGATTAAACAGGCTTTAAAATTCAGAAGAATCGATGTTGAATATTTATTCTTTTGGCATGAAAACATGTACAATCACATATGGGTAAAAGAATAAGCTGTGAGGCACCTGAGTCTAGCAACCCAATACTGCACTGAATGATTAAGAGAGATATGAATGAAATAATGCTTTTTTAAGATTTAGGACTGCTTTTCTGACCATTCTTCAGATAACAGGGGACTCTGGTTTTGTACACTGTCCTCTCTTCAGGGAAAAGAGTTGTTACAAATAATCCTGAAAAAAGCCTCTAGCAGAAAAGCACATGAGATCGGGATTTGCATACGTCTGCAGTAGTATTGGGAAAGGAAACTTTTGACAAATTCCCAATACCCTTCTAATGAATCCCCTTCATAGCAAAGAGTGCTGGGCCAAAGAGCCAGTGCTGGCTGGCTGATTGTTCTCTGGGCAACACAATGAAAATATCTGAGTGTTTAGAAAACAAGCGATATGCATCTGAAGTATACAGTTTTCCTGTAGGTGTTCAATAAAACAGCTGAAGAAGGGAGTTTGCTTATAACAGCAAAAAGGAGCTCTCTACCTAGAGTTGCTAAGGATCACACAGTCTCATCATTTCCAGCAGAGAAAAATGTTCAAAACTAGATTCGTCAGTGGTCTGAAGGATGCCAAAAAAAGAAATCCAAAATATATTTTAAAAACTATGTCTCATGAACATTGATCATTCAGTAGAATACTAGAATGTTAACTCCAGCTGCCTCGCAGCTTGATTCTTGGCTCCCATGTAATGTACATTTATAAAGGCATTTTTATGCCAAGAGAAAAAGCAATCCACTGCATATACTTGCTGTATCATAACACGATTGTGCTAACCACTTCCTCCCTGATTTCCTTATGCGAGGTTCTGTTTTCTTGGCTGATAAGTCCTGTAATTTACAGAAAATTCAGATCCTGTTCAGCTGAAAGAAATACATGTATATGTTCATCAAAGAAAACTTTCCTCAATATTCCACCTCTTATTTGTTACAAGTGAAAATAAGCAAAAAATAAAATTCTCATAATACTTGAATAATTTACTTCTTAATCCTTCATAGGTTTTATAGATTAAAAGATGATTAATTTAGAATTTACTTTCTAAAAGGAAAGAGAAGTAATAAGATTAGCTCAATACTGGGTGATTATCATTCACAAAAGAATGTGAATGTATTAAACACATAAAATATAAGAATTATTTAGAAATTCCCCAACCTGTTTTTTATAATTTTGATGGCTTCTTTGTATTATACAACTAATTGGAGTTAGCATGCTTTACATCTTAATAACAGCTCTTAATGATGAGATCGTTATGTGCCTGTACATAGAATCTCTTTAATCACCGTTCTTTTGATTCTAAACATTTTTAAAATGTTAAACATTTTAAACTATAGTCACTAAGTTTAAAATAAATTCTACAAGTACCTAAAGGCATCATTTAGGTACAATTTCAATCTGATGAAATTTGTCTTTAAGTCTATTAAACATCTAAGCTTATTCTTTACAGACTTCCAAGTTTTATTTTTCTTTACTGTTATTTTGGTCTTACACCATCTGCAATTTTTCTAGATAACCAAAACCTTTATAAATTGGAATGAGATTTGTTTTATAGTTCTGGGACCCTCCTGCACGAATGTGAGTTACTTTACTGCATGACTTAAGCCTACCCTACTCCATAAATCAGAAAGATTTGATCTTGAGAGAGGCCCTTGTCCTGTGGACCCTTTCAAGATCAAAGACTCACTAAATCCAGGGGCTAGAAAGCACTCCAAGGGGTTATCTTATAGGGACCTCTGTAATCACTGCCTTGCAGAAGAAAGAGCAAATAAACCATTCACAACAAATTACCTGCCAAAGTTCTAAAGTTTTCTAGAAAAGGAGGCAACAAAATCTTCCATTGCAACTTTCTTTCTTAACTCTCCTAAAATAATGAATGGAACGCTTCATTTCTTCGTGCCTTTTGCACACTGGTTTCCCTGGCTGATGGCAGTGTAATTCTCCTCTCTCCACTTAGGACAACACCTGTGTAGGGCTGCATTTCCCTTGCAGTCCTGAGGAGCAAGGCCACCTCACTTCCCAAGCTGGCTAAAAGCCCTCAGAGAGCCCTGGACAGAGGAGAAGCAAGGGATCACTCTTTACCTTTGCAGATACCAATTTCGTCACCAAAATCATCCTCCTCATTGTTAAACTGACACCTCAGCCCTGGGCCACACTTCACGCCATCCATGCCTGAGACAGTGCGGTAGCAGGTTTCTCCCGGCCCTGCAGCGCACACCTGGCAACAGCCACAGTCGTCCAGCACTGTCCTCTTGCAGTGCAGGCTGCTTCTGCACTCGCTAGTGTCACAGTGTTCTGGGCAATCCACAGCATACTTGGCACTCCAAGCCATGGCCAGGTGCACAAGTACAAGGAGCATGGTCAATAGCAGGAGGCTCTTCATGTTTCCCAGCTGGCTCAGCTCGGCTCCCTGCTTCATGGTCCTTGCTGGTGAGAAGCAGCTGTCCAAAGTGGTAGCTGAGCCTCTGCCTACACGTTTGTGAGTTTTATACACTGGGTTGCCCGCATGCTACCGTCATCAATTTCCTCAAGCCAGCAGCAGCGCTGTCCTTCTGCCAGCATCTCTTGTTTTAGTTTATGAAATCCAGGATGAAGCCTGGATTAACACACTGCTGCCCTCCAGGAATTGAAAAGCCCAAGCTGATGTCATCTGTTATGTTTAGAGGTTGTTTTGCATGAGGGCTGAAAATTCACTCACATCCGTCTCAAGGGCTCAAGGACATCTGTGAAGAAGAAATAAAGAAGGTCGCATACCTCCCTTCAGAACAGGAATTGTTCTGACACGGGCAGATCACTTTGGGTGTAGCTCTGTCTCGCAATCTCTGTAGTCAGGAAGAAAATGATATTGACGTGAATCATCAAGACCGATGAAGCTTCTGCAAAGAAAAAATATATATATAATAATAATAATAAACATTTGGTATTTCCCCTCAATAAATAGCTATGAGATCATTTGGAAGAAGAAAGGGTTATATTGTGCTAGTTTGATACTTAAAAGAAAGAAAATATCTTGAGAGGAATTTTTGAAAGCTCTTCTCTTCCTTCCTCCTGCCCGTCTCGTTAAATGTTATTTCTAAAACAATTCATGTCACATATGTCTAAGTCTATCATGGATGTAGCTGTGTTTCTAGGAAGATGTGGGACTACAGCTAAGAATTTTCTTTAAAATCATACCAAAAAAGCCACACAAGAGGTAAGGTCCTATTGGCATTGTTTCTGGGTTACTCAGCTCTGGAAAAACTTATCAGTTGGACTTCTCCTGACCCAAGATCCCCTGAGGAGAAGGCTCATTCATCACTGAGGCTGCTCGTCCAATGGATCAAGTCCATTCAGGGCCTTTCCTCACCTCTTGGCATCTATCAGAGTCCTTACTAAAAACTGCCAAAGAAGGCAGTCAGCCCAAGGAAATAAGTAAACCAGCAGGGAAAGAGGAACACAGCCCCAAACAAGCAAGTCACAGTGCAGGGAAAATATCACCCATCAGGAAACAATCTCGTTAAATGTTATTTCTAAAACAATTCATGTCCATATGTCTACAGTCTATCATGGATGTAGCTGTGTTTCTAGGAACGATGTGGGACTACAGCTAAGAATTTTCTTTAAAATCATACCAAAAAAGCCACACAAGAGGTAAGGTCCTATTGGCATTGTTTCTGGGTTACTCAGCTCTGGAAAAACTTATCAGTTGGACTTCTCCTGACCCAAGATCCCCTGAGGAGAAGGCTCATTCATCACTGAGGCTGCTCGTCCAATGGATCAAGTCCATTCAGGGCCTTTCCTCACCTCTTGGCATCTATCAGAGTCCTTACTAAAAACTGCCAAAGAAGGCAGTCAGCCCAAGGAAATAAGTAAACCAGCAGGGAAAGAGGAACACAGCCCCAAACAAGCAAGTCACAGTGCAGGGAAAATATCACCCATCAGGAAACAAGGTTTTTATGCTATGGAGGGTCACCAGGCATATGTCCCACTGGAGAGAAAAGAATAGCCCTCTTAAAATATTGACAAGACCAGGATCTTGTTGTGCAAGGCTTGGGGGACAGAGAGAACAAGATGAAAGAGAAGAGAAGGGAGTTTTTTCACCAGCCATGTGTTAAATTCTAAGCCTCCCATGCCACTTGTCAAAATAGAAATAAAATAAACCCACTGTGATTTGGTAAATAAATACCCCAGTAAAGTGGATAAGTCTTGATCTGTCACAAAATAGCTGCAGGACATCCACAGGACTCAGCTTCCTCTGATGAGAATTGATGTGTTAAGCTAGTTGACTTCTGAAATTCTTATGCCCTCTAGAAAATGAAGCATAAAGGCCACTGGATCTGACTTGATGATCAGCCTTTGCAAGTGCAATTTTAGGGGAACAGAGGGAGCAGAAGCAGAGTACAGGGAACTGGGGGAGTGGGAAATAAAGGCAAGAGTTTTTGCTTCCAAATTTCTCAAATTTTCCACCACAATCCAATTTGAAACGCTCTGTATTCATCTCCCCAGAAGCAAAAACGTACTTAGCAGGTGGAACACTCTGATTTACTACTTTCAGATGTGGGTGGCATTTATTAAGTACACAGTATGTGTCAGGCACTGCTCTTAAGGATTTTAAAGTACTAATTCACTTGCTCCTTGCCACAATATTATGAAGCAACTACTGTTATCATGCCCATTTTTTGAATGAGGAAACTGAATCAGAAAAACTTAAAGGTCCCCATAATATCAGAGATTGACATCAGTCTAATGTCAAAGCCACACACTCTATTGCTTATTACAACACACAATCATGCTTCCATGGCCAGTGGGTCCAGTGGCCTGGTTCCCAATTTAGGCTGACCCTGGAAAAGATTTCTTGTGAAAATTTTGTTAAATACCACTTTCTGAGGAGAGAGTGGGTAACTGGAATAGTGGTTACTAATAATAGCTAAACTTTATAGAGTTCTTACTACATGCCAGACACTATGCTTACTTTATATAGACTACCACATTTAACTTTCAAAACAGCATCAAGAGGTAGGTATCATTTGTCTGTCTGTTTCAGAGATGAGAGAACTGAGTCCTAGAAAGGTTAAGTAATTCATCCAACATCCCACAGTTAGCAGATAGTGAAGCCAGGATTCTAGCCCTGCAATGAATGGGTTCCAAAGACTAGAACAAGGATTTCAAAATCAAATATAAACAGGTGACAAACAATGACCCAGAAGGCATGGAGTGGATTTTGTCCACATGAAGAGCATCTAAAACCATGAATACTTTCCACTATGGAAGACGAAAGGAAACCAAATTGATACTTTGGTAAATGACACCTACACAGAGAGAATATGTACACTGAGGGTATCAAATCCATAACAGTAAACCAAATACAATACACAAAAGAGAGCAGAAAATAGGATCAACAGGTTCATCAATGGTGGAACTATCTCAATGTACTATACCTAACAACTCATTTGGGGGAACCCATTAATTCTTTCCAAGACCCAGCAAGACCCATTTGTCCTACCACAATCCCTATGGGACTTTTATCTAGTTGTATTCTTATTTTTCCCAACTTTCCAGTTATAAAACAGCAATGACCACAAAGAGCTAGGAAATAAGAGCATAATTAACCAAGAAGCCAATTTTAATCCTCATCTCAGAAAAAAACTAATACATTAAGGTAAAACCAAAGATGTTGTACTGGTTCATGAGATCCACTTAGTCAGCTTGCTTTGTGCTGGAGTCTGACTTCTCTAACCTTGCTCTGTCTGTGCATCACTTGTCAACTCAAAGAGTGAGACAGGGCAAGCTTTTACAATTCCAAAAATGCAAGCTCAAAGATTGGTGGTATGGTTCAAGTGGCAGAATGCTCACCTAGCAAGCATAAGGCCCTGAGTTCAAAACTTCAACTCTGCCCTCAAAATGCAAGATCATGCTACATTAGATCCATCTCTGGACCCAAGGAATATAGCAGGTAGTCTTCTGAAACTGCACAGATTAATAACTTAATCAAAGAGCTTTTCAACCCAGTGTACCCTGTACATTTAAAATGTTATGGTGATTTTTTTTTCTTAAACTCAGCATTATGCCAGCCAAGATAATAAGCCCAGGTACCACGCACTGGTATTTTATGATCAATTTTGCTCATAAATGATTACTTGTAACCAAATACAAAGGAGTAATCTCTGAATAGGCAAAGTTCCAGTAGGAAAAGTACTAAGCAGGTTCCAAACCCTCAGGAGGAGTTTCATGGTCAAGCCAATTATATCATATTAATTGTGTTTTCCCAATAAACCATCTTTACCAGATAAGTTTGACTTAAATGCAATGAAGGCAAACATTTCCAAGGAACAAGTGGAGACATTTACCATCAGATTTTCAGTATGTGAGACTTAGTTTTCAGTTGTTTGGTTTTGGGGAGCATCTGAAAGTTCTCCTGCTTTAGCACCAGCTGTGACATTTTTGCTTGTGCTTAGTGCAAGGTCTAGCACATATTAAAACTTAATACATAATCAACACATAAATGTAACCAGCTGTTTTTCAGAAGTATTTTCAGAGAGTAGCAAGTTGAAATGGGCATCACTGTGTTCCCTTTCTCTTTCCACCAAGAGAAGCAAAGTGAGGGCCAGATTACTGGGCAGACTGGGTTGGGCTGCAGAACATGAGTGTTTCTTAGTGGGAATGAGGTAGAGGCTTCCAGAAATAACAGAAGCCACTGGGGATTGAATGGAGTGTGAGCCAACTGTAATCCCACAACTCCACACCAACCTATTTGGTCCCCTTTACCTTCTAGTCTTGGGTTTGGCAGTATTCCACATACCCTGAGAAACTAATGGGGGCCTCTGTTGAAACACATCTGCCAAAGAGATAAGATTTATGGCAGTCATAGCCCAGCTCTTGAAACCAAGGGCCCAAGGTGCCCTGGGAACAGCTTACAGGAGTTCTAGAAATAGCTCTGCCACTACCAATGTGGCAGTCTTAGTCAAGTCACATGCCACAAGCCTTAGACCTATCTTTTCTCCTCTCTACCTGACTAATGAGTTAAGAGGACTCAATGGGGTAACAGCTGTGAAAAAAAGAACCATGACCACTATGATCAACAATCTAATTTCTGAAGATTTGCTAAATCCTTTTTGTGTGTATGTGTGCAGTACTGGGGCTTGAACTCAGAGCTTTCTAGGCTTGCTAAGCAGGCACTCTATCACTTGAGCCACTTCCCCAGCCCTGATTTGTATTTGGTTTTTTTTTTTTGAGATAAGGTCTTGGAACTATTTGCCTCAGGCTGGCTTCGAACTTCAATCCTGATCTCTGCCTCCTGTGTACCTAGGATTACAGGCATGAGCCACTGGCACCCAGCTGCTTAATTCTTTAAAAGTGAACTTCTATCTTAGAGCAAATATTTTTCCAAAAGAAGTATCTGTATAA